AAATCTGAAGCTCCAGATAACTCTCCAGGTGTAGTTGTATCCGAACCACAAACCGAGCAATTCTCAAAACGAGCAGCTGCTAACGCCTGCTGCAGATTCTGACCACCGGATTGATCCTCCTTCGAAACTTCCTCAGAATGACTAACCACTTTAGTACTCTTACTCAATGTAACAGATCTCTGAAGCACATTCAACAAAGTGTTCCTCCGAACATCTTCCTTTCCTAAAACAAAAACCAAACCCCAACAACAGTTTTTTAGCCACAACAACCAAATACAACCAAATACAAAAATGTAGAAACTTGGAAAGATGCAAACAAAAAGGTCAAACCTTGAGATTGATCAACGGTTGATGATGGAGAACCTTCTTTTTGAAACAAGATTTTACCATTGTTTACAGCAATAACCCAACATTCCTTCGATAGTTTCTTAGCTAAATACTTAGCTACAGATACTGATGAACGAATCGTGTGGTGACTTTTTGAAACCCCAACTAAAACTTTCGATGCAGAAAACGATTTCGCTTCTCTAACTATAATCTTTCGAGGAGAAGAACCACGACATAGCTTCAGCTTCAGATCCACCTATTAAAGAGAGAAATTTCATTTCAACATTTTCTAAAACTTTTGTGTAGCTAAAGAAGTAAGCAAAAAGGATCAAACTTTACCTGTTTCAGATTACAGAAACCTTCATAAACGTCAAGAACAGAGTCGAAAGTTTTCACCAATGAGAGAAGCGAAGAGTTCCCTGCTCGATCCACAATCTCTACACAAAACCCAAAATCAAAAATCAAAGCTTTATGTAAGATAAACTCTGAACAAAGGAAAAAAATCAAAGCTTTTTTTTGTGAAAAATGTACCATTTCCAAGGATATGAAGAGCGATTACAGTATCACCAGGCTCAGCGACTTTAACCAAAGCCCAAGTGAGTAACTCTCTGCTCGGTGCATCTAACTTCACTCCGACAAGAATCGTACGGCCACCTTCCTCGCCGGAGCTCTGTTTCTCTCCGGCGTTTTCTATCATCTTTTGATTGTCTGAATCTCTCTCAAGTGTTCTCTTTTTCCCTTACTTGTGCTTCACAAAGACAAAAGAACATCGTTAAGGAGATTTATATATACCAAACAAAAAGACAAGATC